GAGAATCGAAAATTTCTCATCGTCCAAGAAATTCTACAGAACAATCCAGACATCGTTTGCCTACAGGTAATGAATTGTATATTTCTTGGCCCCCGCAACAACCCCCTTTCATACAGTTCTTACTCTCTTCATTTCACAGGAAGTGGATCATTTTAAGTTTTTACAAACCATTTTGGGTACACAAAACTATGAAGGCATATTCTTTCCGAAACCCGATTCGCCATGCTTGTACATTGAGGAGAATAACGGCCCGGATGGCTGTGCCATTTTTTACAAACGCGACAAATTCGAACTGAAGAACTTCGATACCCGCATTTTGGAGGTGTGGCGCGTGCAAAGCAATCAAGTGGCCATTATAGTTAACCTGGCTGTTAAGGCTACCGGCAAGGAGTTCTGCGTATGCACCACTCATCTGAAGGCGCGTCATGGCTCTCTGCTATCGAAATTGCGCAATGAGCAAGGCCGCGATCTGTTGCGTTTTGTCAAACAATTCGCCTCGCAACGTCCAGTATTGATTTGTGGCGACTTCAATGCCGAACCCACAGAGCCAGTATATGCCACAGTGCTGAGTGGTGAGCTGCTAAAATTGGCCAGCGCCTATGCGGATGTCAAAGCCGAACGCGATGAATGCAATAATGATAGCGCTAATGAAGTGAAAGCTGATGCAGAGTTAGTTTCTGAGGCGCCTGAGATGGTTGAGCAGGACGGGGAGGAGGTCGAGGAAGAAGTGGAGCTTATTTGCGATGACAGCGTAATGAAATCAATACAGCGAGAGCCACCTTATACCACGTGGAAGATACGCGAAGATGGCGAAGAGTGTCACACCATCGATTATGTATTCTATACGCCAGAGCAGTTCAAGGTAAATAGTTAAGATTATTATGGCCCCAAGCCAATTACTTATTTATGTGTGTATGTATGTAATTCTTTTGTATGTTACAGATTCGTAATTGTCTGGAATTCCCTAGAGATGATGAAGTTGGCAAAAATCGTACGCCTAGCTTCCAGTATCCATCAGATCACTTCTCATTGGTGTGCGACTTCGAAATATTGGATAAGCAGTAAATAGCGTTGTTGCTCTTCAATGCGTTTAGTGTACATACAACACATTACCGCACTTGCAGCAAACAAAGCAAACAATTTAAGGCATTATTAGAATTATCCAGTTTTGCTGGCGACGCACAACTTTAACTTCATTGGCATTCACGAAATCAATTAAATAATTGTGATATTAGTTGTTAGATATACTTTAGAGACATATGTAGTAGTTGCATTCAAATACAAACAAACAAGCCAATCAGACAACAAGCTGATACATTTTTTTGTAATACTTGACAGCAATAAACATTAGTAGAAATATAAGTAAATGGATATGTATGTGGAACAAATAAGTTAAACGTTTTTGTTTTTATAATAGGAAATGGATTTGTTTGGGTTGACCAAATTGAAGTAGAATTTAGTTTGTTTGAAAACGATAATATTTACACGCCTAACACTGGTGAACAGTGATTTTGGTGCCGAGGATATATGCTTCTTTTTTGAATTAGCACCCTATTTTTGATTATATATGTAAATAGAAACAAAATTTATTTCATACATGTAATTTTTTAGATTTTGGCTTGTACAGAAAAACTCAAATTTGCATCAAAAACTTCGACGAGCCCATATGACTTGGTACCTATCTGCCATAGTTTTTCCGCCTTTGAAAAATCGTTCTCCCTTTTCATCGCCAATATTTTGCTTGCTTTGGTAGATAGCTTACATATTGAGGTTTTAACGCCGTCGTTTATTATTTCGAAGTAGTTCATTGACTTGCAATTGTCCAGAAAGTGGCAAAATATGTTTGTTTAATTTTGATCAAGTACAGTCCGATGATTCTGCCAGCCCAAAAGCCACACAAAACAGAGTGGCAGTGTGGCTGCATATTTTTTCCTGCAGAGTATAAAGTTTTTTTTTTTTTATTAACGTATCTGTTTAGGTGAAAATTTTTAAAAAATCGGCATCAACTTTTGAATCACTTTTACGCGTTGTTCAACTGAGTATCACTCCCTAACCAAGCTTGCCAAAGCCTGTAGTACCAATGCTCGGAAAAACAAAATGTAAAACAAGTAACTTTTGGCAAAAAAAAAAAAAAAAACGACTTCAACTCTCATATAAAAAAAAATATATACATATATCTCTCATGATCCCCTGATCGGATCTTAACCAGATTAGTATGGGACACCTCTGAGACACTACCTTTCCGATGCAAAACGAATTATCGAAATCGGTTGACGTGGTCCAAAGTTATGCGGTAACATACATTAACCAAAAGAAAAAAATATTCCGAAGAACTGATAACCTCCTCCTTTTTTGGAAGTCGGTTAAAAAAACATTAATATATCTTAAAAAATTCCTTTCATAGATCTTTTATAGGTCCCATTCTTACGTATTTCGAAAGACACATTTTCAGTAAAATGGCTGCACGTCTGAACAAAAAAAAAAACCATGCAACTAGTTAGTTACGTAAAAAATCTTCAATGATTACTCAACACGTCCAATTAGCCAGAAGCGAAAGTATTTTGTTTTTGAATTTTCATTTTCAGCTGATGGTCACTTTGCCGCCCTGAACAAAAATATATTGATTTGGCCAATATATTGGGTTACATTATTTATTTATTTTTTTTATTTATTCATTCATTATAGTCTAATTACAGGTACAGACCAAAGCATAATAGAAAAATAATAATATGTATATTATTACCTATACAATGGATTTATAAAATAAGAAAAGCTTAAGTTTATTATTTAAGACATTCTTCGTGAGCGAGAGATCTAGGTCCAAAGAACTTGAGAGTTTGTTCAGTTCAGACAGGGTTCTTTTGATTGGTGCATTACTGCCATAAAGCGTTCTACTTAAACCAATAGCAAAAACCTCGTAATTGCGTAAAACTCTTGCGGGGACGTTAAACTTAACTCTGCTAAGAAGATTAGGGCAGTCGACAGTGCCCTAGACAATATCAAGCATAAAAGATACAGATAAGAAAATTCTTCTATTGCTCAGCGTCATTAGGTTGATCAATTGACAACGCGCTAAGTATGATGGGATCGGCTCGGAAAAATTAAAGGAACGCAAAGCATGCCGTAAAAATGTCTTCTGAACCGACTCCAGCCGAATGATATGTACTTGATGATACGGTCTCCAAATGAAGGCGGCGTACTCTAATTTAGACCGAACAAAAGCAGTGTACAAGGTTTTAAGAGTATATGGTTTGGAGAAACACCTACTATTGCGACGAACAAAGGCAAGCATTGAAAACGAATTAGAAATAGTATAATTTTTGGCAGCCAATGTCAGTTACGCGGTTTTGCAGAATGACGATACGCGGTTTTGTACTTTAAACGACGATATAATGTGTTGCTTCTTCTTCATTGGTCGCTGAAGCGAACAAAGCCATAGATTTTTTGTAGAGTTGTTCTTATAAATATCCTCGAAGCCTACTTTGCTCAACATTGTCCACGTTTCTGCGTCATTTAAAGACACGGCCGTGATAAAGTATTTAGTTAGAATTTTTCATATACAGGAGGTTGGTTCCGTGTGGGAAAGTTTTTGATCACCATTCACCAGGAAGTATCCAAAAACAATTATTTTACATCCGGTTCAAGCAGCTCAAGACTTTGGTGTTTACACCAAGTATTCTTTGGATAGCAACTGTACACACGTTTGGAAGCGAGCTAATTGCGAGAAGGCGAAACCCCAACATAGTAGACTTCAGACGACTAGCGAGTGATCTTAGCCAATATTTGGTCCAATGATTGTACATATATACGTAGTCTAGTTAGTGTAGTTAGTCTAGTTACTTAACTTACGTAAGAAATCGTCAATGATCACTCAACACGTCCACTTAGCCAGAAGTGAAAACATTTTGGTTTTTGTATTTCCCTTTTCAGCTGATGTCACCTACATATAAGCCGCATCAAAAAATTGCTTTGGCCAATAAATTAAGTTACGTTACGTAAATTAAGTCTAGTCTAACTGAACCTTAAGCCTAATTAAGTATAATTTGCCTAATATTTCAAATACTGTTGCTTAAAATGTTGACAAATAAAATCATACAACTACTACTTACGCCCAGGTATTGATTAAAATAAAATATGCATGTAACTACATAATTTACTTTTAATACTTTTATTTTACCGTTTTATTGACTTTTAAACGAAAAATTGTATGTAGATTATACAGTAGAATTTACGTATTTTTCGTTTGTTTTATCTCACTTTTTGGCATCTTACTTTATGAACTAAGAATTTATAAAGGATACAAGACAAAATTTCCACTGTACTAAATTTAATTGTTGCGCTTATATTTCGTCAGTAGACTTTACATTGTAGTAGAGTGATTGTAAATTATGTAAATTCCAGTTCAAATATAACATATTTTTTATCTTTTTCCAATAAGTCTATGTATATCACAACAGTTAGATGTTTATTCTTTATGTAACTGTTATAAATATTATATGAAATATAGTCAATACAGTTTTGTGCTCATGGCAATGAATAAATATTTAATGCACTTCCATTTATTCGTATAAAATTGCTCTAAAGGAAGCAGGAAGCAGGCAACTGAAAATTTCCAAATTTAATAATACATATTTACGATTTCTTTATAGCATATCTAATACTTCATTTATAATTAACTTAATGAAAAAATAATAAAATAAAATAAAAAAATGTTGCAATAAATATTTCACTGAAACTAATAATTTCGGTATTTTATATTGCTTCCATTATTGTTATGTTCATTTCCAATATCTTCCATTCACACTTCCTTGTTAACTAAGCATACTTTGGTTAAGTTATATTAAATATATAGCAATTTAAAGAAAAAAATTGATAATTTTTTATGTATGTAAATATTTACAAACGACATGGTACTCGTATAAAAGATGAATTGAATTGATTACAAAAAAAAAATATGCTTATACCCTTCATCTTGCTGATATAAATTTTTAATTATATTA